GTCAGTGGGGAACACGTGCTTAACCTGTTCAAGGCCCCAGCTTCACCCCCAGCTCCAAAACAAAAAATGAAACAAGGTGTTCTACACTGAAGTTTAATAATGTATAACACTGGCATATATTGTTACTAATGATCAGCTTTTATTGAGCACCTACTATTTCCTGAGAATGCAGAGGAAGATAAAAACCCAGACCACAAGGATTCCTAAAACGAGTTTGGAGTTCAGCTTATGAACCCAGAAAGATCAGGATCTTGTAATAACAACATTTGCCAAGTGTTAAATGCAAACAGCAAAGTCTACAGGCGTTCATTGTGGCCTACGGGCTTCCTCTCTCTGTTCCCCAGGCACCTTCTATAGACCTCTGAGTGGCACCACCTGTATACTTAGCATAGGTCTCGACTCCTCCACTGGTAGATGAGCTCTTCCAGACGGGGAACTTAGGGGGTTTCTTGTTTTCTTTTTCTTTTTCTTTTTTTTTTTTAATCCTTCCTTTTCTACCACTCAGCCAGGTACCTGGTACTAATAGAATTGAATAAATATTTAATTGATCTAATAATGACTGTGGAATGTGAGCTGAGCTTTCAGTGAAGGGCAACACTTAGATAAGAACAGGACCAAAGGTAGGGCATTCCAAGCGCGACCAAGGGAACCAGCCAGGTGACCGAAAGCTCAGGGCAGGCCGAGAAAACCAAGGTCACAGGCCCCCATGGGGTGATCAAAACCCACTGCAGTCACCACGGGTCACCATCGGTCCAGAGTGCCGGGTCTTTAAAGCTGGTCCTCATTCCTCCAGATGGGACTGCAACAGAAGCTCACCCACCTGACAGTCCTAGATCTTTCCTGCTTTAATCTCAGAATCAGTTCCTAGATTCTTATTTCCTGGTCTATTTTTCCTTTTTTTTTTTTCCTCCTAAATTGTTGGGGTGGGTAAAATCCTGGCTCAAGACTGAACTGAGGGCTGGGGATGTGGCTCAAGCAGTAGCGCACTTGCCTGGCATGCGCAGGGCCCTGGGTTCGATCCTCAGCACCACATAAAAATAAAATAAATATATTGCATCCACCTAAAACTAAAAAATAAATATTAAAAAAAAAAAAGACTGAACTGACCCTTGGCATACACAGTCTGAGGGCACCTAACAGGTAAAGATACCAGATATCCTTGGCGTCCAGAATTTGTGGCCACCACCAGAAGGACCTCAAGGCTGGGAAACAGTCTCTTTTTTGGCTTTCCAAGTTCCCAGGACCTCCAGGTGCACCACACACACAAATAACAGCAACGTTAAAAGATCAGTCTGGAATCATCTTTCACCATTAGAAGGTTCTAGTGACTGCAGATCACGCCACACTCGGCAACCAGAGCAAAGTGGGGAGGCATGAGAAGAGTTTAGAACTCCATTCTATGTTCCTTGATTCCCCATAAAAGGAAAAGAAAAGCTCCTGCTTCATTTACCCAGGGTGAGTGCAGCTTTGTATCTAAATAACCCAAGACCTCTCAGGGGACAGCGCTCAAAATGCAGAAAAGGTCCCCAAGTCCTCAGGTGTTTCCTACACTCTGATCTGAATTGCTACATTGTATTTGTCTCTAACTAAATACAGTGACTTTGCCTTTAACATCTTCAGTAGTTTGCCTTGTATAAGTCCCTAGAAACAAGGCTGAGGGTGTGTCTCAGTGGCAGAGTGCTTGCCTAGCATGTGTGAGGCACTGGGTTTGGCCCTTAGCACCACACAAAAACAAACAAAATAAAACCATTCTGCCCGTCTATAACTACAAAAAATATTAATAAATAAAATAAACATTTTAAAAAGTCCCTAGAAACCTCAATTTCATCCTTAATATACATATCACTGTACACAGGCACCCTTTAAGGGTGCCCAGAAGCTAAAGAGACAAATGGAAGAACCAGATGAAAAGTAATAACGAGTTCCTCACTTGCAAACCAGATGCTCAGAAGATGTTCCGTTTTTGCAGATAATCAACTACTCGACCCAGGGACAATCAATCAATCAGAAATTATGAGTCAACGCAGGAACTACCAAGACACTGAGGAGACGATCTGATGACTCTAAGTGGCTCATGAAGAACTATTTGGGTAACTTGATGTGTGTTTTATCATTTTTAGCTTATCTTGGGCTAATCGCCACTCTTCCCTGGGACAGGAGTGTTTATCGGGGACTGCATTCCACCTCCACCTCACTGGTCCCCTCCTGTGCCCCAGGAAGGGCCCCAGCAGACAGAAAGAGAAGGGCCAAAGTTCACTGCTTCCCGGTCAGATGTAGGGGAGGGGTCCAGCCCTCACAGGGCCATGGTATGGACTTCTTCCCTTTTCCCCAGCAGCTGGAGATGTGGGTAACTCAACATCCTTTTCCTGGCCCTGCTGGGAGTGGGGCCCAGGGCCTCGTGCCTGCCAGGCAAGCGCTCTCACTGAGCCGCACCCCAGCCCCTCCGTCTTTGGGTTCCCCGCCTAAACCAGTCTAAGCACTTCATCGAACTCTCTCCTTTCAACCAGTTAAATCTTGTTCCTTGCCAACACCCTGAGGCAAGGATCTTCCTAACCTAGGACACTCTGTATGAAATTTCTCAGTCCCAAAATGTAGATCTTACTGCCCTCTCCTACTTTACACACAGGGCACGGAGGCTCGGAGAGGGTAGAGAAGCAGCCAGAGGTCACAAAAGTAGTTGGCTGGCAAAGCAGGAATTCATCCAGATGGGTCTGACATCCAAGTCCTTAGAAAGCTTCAAAAGTGTGAAAGAAAACACACCAAGCTCCCAAATTCTCAGGCCACAGTTTAGCCTCAAACCACATTATTTACAGTCTGGGTTTTCCCTGGGTCTAAGATAAGCTGCCTGGGGCATTGCCCTATGGGTGCTTCTTTCACCAACAGTCATTCAGACTGAACCCAGCAGTGCACGCCTGTAATCCCAGCAGCTTGGGAGGCTGAGGCAGGAGGATGGAGAGTTCAAAGACAACCTCAACAACTTAGTGAGTCTCTAAAGAACTTAGCAAGACCCCATCTCTAAATAAAATATAAAAAGGTCCGGGATGTAGCTCGGTGGTAAGCACCCCTGAGTTCAATCCTCGGTACCAAAAAAAAAAAAAAGTCATTCAGAGTTGACCTTGTTGGAAAGTGATCAGGACAACCTAAGACCTAACAGATGCCAAGTGTGTCATTTCCTTGGCACACATTTTCCCCTGGGCTCATTCCAGAAATCCCCTAATTCCTCTCAATCTTAAATATCTTTATGGTTCCTTCATTCTTTTTCATAAATTAAAATCAGAAATCCAGAAGATGGGGGATGCAGGTGAATGCAGTTATAAGCGTTAATAACTCTACACTGGCACCTCGAAGCCATGACCTGTGGGGAAATTCATCTGTATCTCTGTTCAAAAAGCTCCCTGGATTCTCTTCTCTAGCAGTGCAGGATGCATTTTTTAAAAATGAATTAAAATAAATTCCAATAGGAAGTGGAGAAATAAGTACAAAATAAATCCCCCTGAAGGAAATTCAAGATAGAGCTATATTCCATTTCAGAAACAAAGTATTTGCTATTGTGTCTGCCTCTGCCTGTGTCCGGGGCCTCTCCGGCCTCACAGGCTGAAGAGAGACAGAAGAAGGCATCCATGCCCTGGCCAGACATTCTCTCAAGTTCCTGATTCTCTGGAATTTGCAATAGTCAGATCCTCAGAGTGGGCCAGGGAGAGGGTGGCTCAGTAAACAGTAGCTGAACAGGGCAAAAGGCCAGGGCCGCTTCCTCATTGCTGGAGGAATGAGAGTGGAAAGGGAAGCAGGTAGGCGCTTGTCAGAAAATGAAAAAGAGCACCAGTGGGGGGGGGGGGGGACCCAGCAAAAACCCTGCAAAACACAGAGGCAGGCGCTTCTCCAGCATGCCCTGCACGGGTCCACTCAGCACAGAGCTGGTCCAGCCCCAGGCCCCCAAGGAACAGGAGAAGGAAGGTAGCCTCAAAGGCTGTAATGGCAGCAGACCATTCCTGGACAGCCCCAGAGCTACCGGGGCCCCTCTGCTCCCACTCACAAGCCTCCTACCTCTGGAATTAACAAGGTCTTCAGAAAACAAAGTATCCCTTTTCATCACTCCTGCCTTTCTGATGGCATCACACAGGACACAAAATAGCAGTCACACCTGTTGGCCCAGGCTCACTGATTTAGTCTGCAACCAGGTCTCTCATTCAAACCCATGGACTGAGAGGTCTGCGGGTCAGTCGGGATCACCTAAATTAAAATAATAACGACTTAGCTGGCCTGGCTGAGCCCGCGATCCCGCTGTAGGGAGGATCCAGGTACAGAAGGATGCCAAATTCAAGGCGGCTTAGCAATACTGTTCTCAAAAGAAAAAAATTTTAAAATGTTTAAAAAGTGTTAAAATGCAGCTCAATGGTGGAGCACCTCTGAGTCTAGTCCCCAATACTGAAAAAAAAAAGTTAAAAAAAAAAAAAAAACTTGACTACAATGACAGAGGAAACACTGGATTCATTTATCAGACCATCTTAGAATTTGAACACAAACCAAAACTTGGGGGGGGGTGGGGAAGTTCAGTCGAACTTGCCATGCAGGTGTACAGAATATTTTTTAGTGCATTTACAGAAAGAAGAACATTAAAACCAACTTAAAAAAAAAAAAAAAAAAGAGCCAGGCTCCGTCGCCCACGCCTGTAATCCCAGCGGCTCAGGTGGCTGAGATGGGAGGATCCTGAGGATCGCGAGTTCAAAGCCAAGGACTGAAGTACTTCAGAGTTGACCTGAGGCAAGGCGCTAAGCAACTCAGTGAGACCCTGTCTCTAAATAAAATTCAAAATAGTGCTGGGGTGTGGCTCAGTGGTCCAGTGCCCCTGAGTTCAATCCCCGGTACCCCCCACCTCCTATCCCCCGCCCGAAAGAAGCCCACCTGTCCAGTACGGGGCAGGGGGACGGGTGGATGACTTTCCCCGACTTCGGGGTGGCGATCGCTCGGGGCGCCGGGGTGCCCGCGGGCGGCGCAGTTACCTGGTCCAGCGGGATGCCCAGGAGCTCGCTGAGCGGGTGCAGACAGGTGGAGCCCGTGGTGCGGTAGGACGCGCGGGGCGGCGGTGGCTCTGGTGCCATCCTGCATCTTCGGGAGGCGGCTGCCCCGGCCCCAGCCCGCGCCACCCTGCGGGACGTCCTCCTCCCGGGCCCGGGTGCTGCGCCAAGAGGCGGCCGCTGCCAGGCTCGTGGGGCACCTTGCGGGAGGCCGGCGACGCGCACGGGCGAAAACGCTCTGGGCGCAAACTTGGCGCTGGCGCAGCCGCCACGGGCCTGGGAGGCCGGCCGAGCGCGCCGCGCTTCCCGCTCCACTCCTCTCTGCGCCCATTGGCCCCGCGGCCGGGGACGCCCGGAGGGGGCGGGCGGGAGGCGCCGCGGGGACTGGGAGCCGGGCCCCGCCCCGCCCTCCGCGGCCCAGGGGGACAGCGACGCGCGGCCGCCGCCCCGCCTGGAGGCTGGTGCGCGCGGCCCCGGGGGCGGGCGACGCCCCTTCCTTCTCGGGAGCCCGCCGCCCTCTCTCCCCGCCCACGGAACTGTCTCACCCGGTGCGGGCGCCTGCCACCCGGGAGCAGCCCCGGCCCCACCCTGTCCGGGTTTCGCCGCTGTCGCCGCGCCCTCCTCGGGTCCCCGCGCCCTCCTCGGGTCCCCGCGCCCGCCGGGGCCTCCTGCGCTTTCCTTTCCAGCCGCGCGAGACCCCGGATCCCCGGTACCTGCCTCTCCGGGTCCGGCCGCTGTTCGGACCCCCGATCCCCGCAGGCGCGGGCCACTCACGCACACACGGAGGACCGCTCACTCCGGATGGCTGCGTCGCTGTGGGGGGAGAATTACTTTACCCGGGTCAGGAGCGCATTTACTGTTCCAAGATGCGCGTGGTCATGATGTACTTGAATGGAACGGCCCTAAATAAGGGTCCCTTGCCCTTTCACATCGTCCCAGGCCCCCAACACCCTTGTGTCGCTTGGGAAAGTTTTCCCATTTATTGATAGATTTTGAGAGATATAAAAATCTTAAACTGGGCGTGGTGGTGCAGCCTGTAGTCCCTACTACTGAGAGGGAGGCAGGAAAATCGCCAGAGCACAGGAGTGACCAGCCTGGGCAACGTAGGCGGATCCCGTGTCTAAAATAAATATCCAGAAAAATCCCGCCGACCCTTTCCAGGAATTTCCGGATGTTAGGTGGTGAAGCCTTCTGGAAGAGGCACTCTGGGCATATGGGTAGGAAGCCAGAACCCAGCGCCTGTGGCCCCTGGGTTCCCCTGGGTTCCCCTGGGAAACATCTGAGCGCCATCACTTGGACGAGGGTTAGCTGGGGGAGCATCCGACCCAGCAGGCAGGCAGGGACTTGGGCAGACCTTCTGAAAGTGGCCTCCAGCTTCAGATGACCTGAAAGCCGGTCAAGCACTGGCACCAACTTCCTCCCCAGGGCAAGGGCCTCTGCTGCCCTCTCCAAGGTTTCAGGGTTTCATCACCAACAATTGCACCCAATAGGAACTTTCCAGGCCAGAATTTCTCCATCGATGTCCTCTGCCAAAGAGGGGTAAAAATGTTGCTGCCACCCTCCGTGACCCAGTAGACATTTTAGAGGAGGTCATCAGCAAGCCACAGTCCTTGCTTTACTACACAAGAAAACTCCCACCTTCCCCGCCCCCCCCACACACATACACATACACACACACACACACACATACACACGTGCAGGCATGTGACTTGAGGATGACCAGGCTAGGTAGACTCAGTAAATATCTCAGAGTCCTGGGAAATGACCAGACTTGAAGCAGTATCCATCTGGTCTTGAGCAAGACAACAGCTTAAGTGAGGCATTTCAGATGGGAAGGGGCCTGAAAGTATCGTTTGAAGGGTGGGGTGCACCTGCAGTCCCAGCTAAGGGGGACACCCAGGAATTCGAGGTCAACCTGGGCAACATAGTGAGGCCCTATCTGAAAAAAGAGAAAGTTGAAAAAAAACTGGGAATGGGTTTGGGGAGCCACTTAGATGCAAATAACCAGAAAACAGAAGTAAGCCAGTTTGGGTCATATTTCTGAAGCAAATGCTTCAGGCCGTGGGTTGCTTTGTGAGCCAGTCTAGGCTCTTGAGACTTTCAAGAAGAGTCTTCACATAGGCAGGCACAGAAGGGGTGGGGGTAGTCCTCCGCAGGTGGTCTTTCCCTCAACAAAACACAAGATTATATAGTCTGAAATTTTCACTTGAAAATGCAGTGACTGGCCAGACGTGGTGGCACACGCCTGTAATCCCAGCTACTTGAGAGGCTAAGGAAAGAAAATCTCCGTTCAAGACAGGCCTGTACAATCTCCCAAGGCCCTGTCCCAAAAGAAAAAGAAAGAAGAAACCACTAGGGACGTAACTCCTTGGTAGAGGGCTTGCCTGGCATGTGAGAGGCCCTGGGTTCCGTCTCTAGCACCACAAGAGGGAAAAAAGCAGCAATTATGCTTAGATCCTGTAAAGAAAAGGTCACAGAACTCAAAACTTCATCTTTTTACTGATACACTAGTACAATTACTGCTAAAAGAACCGTTAGATGACCCAGTACCAAGAGAGTGGGTCAGGTCCATGACCCATGAACAGGCCTCTGAGGCGAGATATGATTCTAACAGCTGCACCATGGTCATCTGTTTCCATCCCCATGTCAAGGTGGATTCGTAAACACGTTAGATTCCAGCATGTTAGATTCCACTTTTCAAAAGCAGCTGTTTCAGTTGCCAGTTGTGACAACCCAGGTGGAATTCTACTCATCCAGATAGAAAATAGGCTTAGGGAGCTCAAGTCACTTGGAAGTATTAATGGAGGTTAAATAAAACTCATTTGTCTGATTCCAGAGCCTGGACTTTGGGTCAGCATACGTTGCCTCCTCTAAAACAGGAGCCACCCTTCCCCCGACACAGGCTCCTCATGGCATTCCTGTGGTCAGGGCATTACAGCTACTCGGAGGCACTTGGGGGTGGTGCCCAGGCCTGTTATCTCCTGCAGTCGTTTGGAGCTGGATATCAAACCCAGCTTCTTAAACCTTCCTATGGAATCATGCTCAAAATGAATGCTGTTCAGGAGATCCGCCGCACATCCTGAGACAGCTAAAGTCCTGGCACAAAGACCTGGAAAAGATTCCATCCTGCTCAGAAAGGCGATACTGTGGACTACTAAAACACTCACTGCGGTCACATGCCAGTCCAGACACAACAAACGACAAAAGTGAATTAAGACCATCCTCAGGTATAAGCCTTCAAAAAGAAGATGTCAATGATTCGACGGCGACCAGTCGAGATTCAACCAAAGATAATCAAGACCTCCTTCAGTGATGGAACCATGTAAAAATAAAATGGCCCTTTTAATAATGTGTCTGTGAAATGATGCTCTGTGTTCAGAGCATATTCGTTTGTATCATTTTCTTTGATCCTCCCAACAACTGTTAAGGGATCGGAAGGGCAGGTGTTATCACCACCTTAATTATTAAGTCATCATCTCCATTTTATTCATAATTCCAAGTTTCCAGTCACTTGCAGCTAGGTTGTTCAGCTGGCACACAGCAAAAGTAGAATTCAGACTTAGGCATCCCACTGTTGCTTTTAATTATCAGAAATCTTTTTATTATACTAGGAGTCCACCTTCAGGAAAACAGCAGAAATGATTGCTTGCTGAGACATTAAATTCCAGGATTAACATTTGAGATCTAACACATAGAAGGGCCAAAATAGACCCACTTTGGGGTTTTGTTTTGTTTTGTTTTGAGCAGTTTCTTTAAGGATTATGCACAAAACTCTAGAGAATGTAGGTGTTGCAATCAGTGCTGTTTCTTCGTGATTTAGCTCAATTGATCTGTGTTTACTTGGAATGCATATTGCTACCTGCCAGTCAAACGTGTTTTCCAAGCTTGGGACTACAGCTAAACATTGTTTTTATATTTTCACACATTCAGAAAATGAAGAAACCAACTGACCAGCTACCCCATCTACCTACCGGCAGAGTTACTGTATTTCCCCCTTAGAATACGGTATCATTTAGTCATTTGAGATGAATCAAGACAAATCATCTCAGTGAGCTAGACCATCACATCCAGGAGATGTTGATATGAGCCAGGACAACTGAATTGGTAACAATTCTGAAAGAAAGCAGTCGAGAGAATGCAGACCAGAAATCAGTTACCTATAACTGGGTGCAGAAATAAAGCCTGCTAACAAAACTCCATTAATTAGAACTACTCAGAACAATATTTTAAAAACTGATTTTGGACAGCTTCTCAGTGGTCATCACTTGAGCCTGAAACACAGAAGGGGGGCAGGTAATAAACATCCCAAATTCAATTTTCTTTCTTTCTTTCTTTCCATACAGGGATTGAACCCAGGGGTGCTCAACCACTGAGCCACATCCCCAGCCCTTGTAACAGTTCAAGAAGTATTATCAGTTCTGCTAGGTGAAGCGTACCTTTTGTGAGCTGACATTATTTTTTAAAGAATGAGGAATGTTTTTATTTATTCTTTATGGGTATACATGACAGTAGATATATTTTGACATATCATATATACATGGAGTATAATTTCCCATTCTGTGGCTGTCCATGATGTGGAGTTACACGGGTCGTGTATTCATATATGAACATAGGAAAGTTATGTCCAATTCATTCCACTGTCTTTCCCATTCTCACCCCCCCTCCCCCCTCCCCCATCCAATCCAGTGAACCTCCACTCCTCCCTCCCCACTGCCTATTATGAGTCAGCATCTGCATATCAGAGAGCATTCGGTCTTCTTTTTTTGTGTGGGATTGGCTTATTTCTCTTAGGATGACAACCTCCAGTTCTATTCTTTTACCAGCAAATGCCATAATTTCATTCTTCTTTTTGGCTGAGTAATATTCCATTTTGTATATGCACGACATTTTCTTTACCCATTCATCTGTTTGGAGGTACCCAGATTGAGATGCTATGAACTCTTGCCTGTGCCTACACAGGCATTGGGAATGGGTTCCCCTCAGTGGAATGGGCTGGCTGAGAAATAAAAGCTAAGAAAAACAGAATGACCAACAAAAAATCACAGGACACAGAAAGTAGTTTCAAAAACAGAGGCAGGACAGGCAAGCCAGTCAGAGGATGGAGCTTCTGTATTCTGGCAAAACGGAGCCTGCGCCTGCTCTATTTATATCAGGGACATCAAAGGCAGGGATAAGGTTTCGAGGGCAGAGTCTTGCTTCCTGGCGTCTTGCAGGCAGCAGGTTGACTGACATCTTGGCAGGTCACACCCATCTCAGGTGCCGTGTGGGATCTGGCAGAGCTTG